GGCAGCGCTATTTGTACTAGTAGAAAAAAATTACAATAATAGTTTGAATTATTGCAACTAACATTCTAATTGTTCCGTCTTAAATTTCTGCTTTTCCCTTTCCTCTTCCTCCTCCAATTCAAGATTCAATTCTTCTACGTATTCATAAAATCCTTTTAAAAATTGAAAATTAGCAAGTTACTTGTGAAAATCCACAATTACCTATGCAGTGATCTTTATAGACTAAAGTACCATCACGGCATCTTGTACAGTGACCAATTCTGCTACAGTTAAGACAGTAGCTCATGCCACAAGCTTTAAAAAAAGAGGAAAAATTAGCTTGTAAGTGGTGTGTAAAATAGTAAAGCAATGCAATTGTACCATAACAAACTCCTTTTGAATCAGGTGTCCAACCATACAAACAATTCTGCACACAGAATGTTCTATCAGTATCAGTCTCACTGGTACCATGTGAATCATCTCCTTCTTCTGTTGCTCTTTTCTTCTCGTGATGGCCTTCTTCTTCACCTAGTTATAAGTAAAAGTAGATTCTATTTTTAACAAAAATTGGCTCCGAATCGCACAGAAATGTTATTGTATGACACATAATGTACTTATGCTTCCAACTAAAACTTTGTAAGCTATGAGTATTTTAAAAATTGACTAATTTTTGAAAAAAGCAAAGGCTATAGCCCATGGATTTTTTTCCAAAAAAAAAGGCTCTGAAATCACCCCAAATATTTATTACATTTTCTGATACACATTGATGTCCTTATGCTATGTAGCAAGTTTGAGCTGTGTCTGAAAAGTATTTTTTTAGTTATGGCCATTTTAAAAAATCACCAATTTCTGAAAAAAAGCAAAGGCTATAGCCCATGGTTTTTTTCAAAAAATGGCTCCAATATCACCCCAATTTTTTATTACATTTTTTGATTCAAATTAATGTCCTTATGCTATGTAGCAAGTCTGGGCTGTTTTTGACAAACATTTTAAAAGTTATGGTCATTTTTTAAAATCGGCCAATTTTTGAAAAATACCCAAGGCTATAGCCCATGGTTTTTTCTGAAAAATGGCTCCAAAATCACCCCAAATATTTA